ATAAAAAAGGAAAATAATTAGACGACTCATTTTGAATTCATTTTGTCTTTTATTGTTTCATTCTCATTTCTTCAAGTGTGTATTTTAATCAAGTTAACTCTTAATACTGAACTATAACTAATTTTGCTCTATTTTTATTTGTTTCATCATCAGCGGTCTTTTATGCAACAAATTTATGGTCCCCACGATTTGAGTTAACTTGAAAAATAATTTTACTTTTAAGAATTTAAAATACTTATTTATTTGTTCTCAATATTAAAATAAATATTTTTTTTGCTTATTCGAATTCTTAATGTTAGCTCATATCAAATATTAAATATTTAATTGTTCTATATTATTCTCAATAAAGAATTCGATTTCCAAATGGTAAAGGAATTGCATTTTTGCACTTTGTGTTTGCTGAAGTGTTAGTGTTATTGACTTTCTTCAATCATTTTTCTTTCTCTATCTTTCTCTTTTATATTATTAAAAATATTTTTTAGTTGTTTGTTCTAAGTGTTGAGTGTAATTTTTTAACACATAGCTTTGTATATATATATATATATATTTTATTACTATAAATTAAAATTATACCCCAAGGATAAAAGAACACATGAAATTTAATTTTGTAAACTGTTACTATTTATTGACCTGGGTAACTATGGTGCCTGAATCGAATAAATATACCGTAGATCGTTCTTATATAAGTTTAATATAACTATTTCTCCTATATATTTTTCTTATTTATGGAATCGTTTGTATCATCCTATATTTTAAAATGAGTAAATTAATATTGATGTTCTTATAAGATTAAAATAACTATTTCTCCTATTTTTCTAATTTATGGAATCGTTCGTATCATCCTATATTTTAGTCGAAGTAAATTAAAGATGATAAGGGTGTTCTTATATAAGATTAATATAACTATTTCTCCTATATATTTTTCTTATTTATGGAATCGTTTGTATCATCCTATATTTTAAAATGAGTAAATTAATATTGATGTTCTTATAAGATTAAAATAACTATTTCTCCTATTTTTCTAATTTATGGAATCGTTCGTATCATCCTATATTTTAGTCGAAGTAAATTAAAGATGATAAGGGTAGTTTATTAAGAAGAATTACTCAAATAGCTGCGCATCCAACCACTTAAACTAAAAATAGCCGGTGGAGGTATAATATATGCATAATTTATGTATTATATGTGTATAATTGTATATTATCAATGTATAATCTATGTATATGGCTAGAAAAAGTAAACAATGAATATGACCGGCTATTTGTGTAAAGATCCCTATTAAAGGTAAAATCTTCATGATTATAAAGTCCTAAATATTAGGAGTTTTTGTCTAGTTCAAATAAGGAAAGGTTTATAGTCAAAATTTTTGTTAACTTCAAAGTCCTAAATATTAGGAAAATAATTACTAAATTATAATTTTGCCTGATATAAAACAAGTTTTTAAAGTGTTAAAAAAATGAACATACATTTCGCTAAGGGGCTTCGTGCTTTTAATAAAATATAGATATTGACATAGATTTATTTCTCTTTAGAAAATAGGAAAAACAAGAAAGAAAGCGAACTCATTAACTTCTCTATTTCCACCTTGTTGCAGCTTTGGACTTCAATCCAGACTTTACTATCATTTCAGCAGGATTTGATGCTGCTAGGGGTGATCCCCTTGGTTGCTGTGATGTAAGAATTTTTCTAAGTATCGACTAGTTTAATGTTGTACTCATTTCTCCTCTTGTATGTTGCATGTGCTACGTTGTGTTACCTTTGGGATCATCTTTGCAGGTAACTCCTGCTGGTTATGCATCAATGACTCAAAGGTTGAGTGCATTGTCAGGTGGAAAATTGCTTGTTATTCTTGAGGGCGGGTTTGTGTCTTTTCACTGCTCCTTTATCTTGTTGTTTAGTCCAAGAGAACTGGAGATTTATATGTTTGCTTGTTTTGAATGGCAATGTTTTGCAGCTACAATCTTCGTTCAATTTCATCATCAGCTACATCAGTGATTAAGGTAAAATTTACTCTAATTTAGGCAGAGGTAGTGAATGGTGGAGAGGGAAGAACTGACAAACAGCGCATGTAAAAGAACTTACTGTTGGAACAAAAGAAAGAACTTACATTGTCTCCCATTAAACTTACAGTTTGAAAGAGGAAAAGAACTTGCAGTGTCAGGAGGGTGTGTTTTTATCAGTGTGGACAAATACATAGAGGATGTCAAGACTCGAGGGGAAAAAACCAAGACATTATTCTTTCCCCTCTAGTCTTACTTCACTTCTATCATGACTATCACTACTAATTCAGTGTGATGAATCTTTCAACTGCTTCCGGTTGTACGTGCATAGTGCAAAAAGTTCAGGCTTCTTGGTCAGGACCAGGTGGCTTGATATTGTATTAGTCATCTTTTTGAGTAATGGCATGCTTTGACCTATTATTTTTTAAACACATTGCTTCGTACATCAAGCATATTTTGAAATCCTGGTTGAGTAATGTAGAATGAATTGTTGAGTGATGGCATGCTTTGACCTATTGTTTTTTTTAAACACGTTGCTTTGTGCATCAAGCATATTTTGAAATCCTGGCTGCGCAATGTAGAATGAATTGTACATTCTTATGTGTTTTTCTACAAGGGGACTATGCATCCAGCATCTTTTTCAGTTCACTTCACGAGCAGATAAACATAAACCAGAGAAATTATTAATGCGACTAGAACAATCAACTCTTTGGATAATTTTAAGGTTTCATGACTAGGATTTACATCTTTTACTGAAGCGAGCTTTTCTGGCAGTATGTTTGGAGAAGTCTAGATTACAAATTGTGGATATATCACACAGTTTGTTCCTTTTTTGGTAATGCTACTTTTAACTAGATTATTCTAGATCCTGAACATGCGTTGATGCTGCATTCTTAATAGTGATGGGGTGGTGACTTGGAAACTGCAGAACATTTTGTTTTGAAGATTTATCCTTCAAACTGCTGGTGTGTGCAGAAGTTGATTTCTTTTCTGATGTTGTCCTTTCTTATGTAGGTTTTGCTTGGTGAAAGTCCTGTGATTGACCTAGACAATACTGTACCTTCCAAATCTGGATTGCAAAGTGTTATGGATGTTTTAAAGATTCAGATGAACTATTGGCCTACATTGGAGACAAACTTCATCAAATTGCAGTCAAAATGGGGACACTATGTTTTTCAGGACACAAGTAAGTTACTTGAATTTACTCTGGGCTCCATATCTGAGGTCCGTGTTTTCTTTTTTGTCTCTAGTTTGGATGATAAGCTTTTGTTTTCTCTTTTAGTCTATAGAGTTTCTCCAGTTAGTCCTGTGATTTTTGTGTCAACTGTCACTGCTTTATAAATGTGCAACAATTCAAAAATTTCAGTTAAAATTCGAGAAATATACAACAATTCTGTGACCTACCTGAAATGCAATATTCTATAGCAGAATGAAGCTGGCCTCTCATATACTGATTGGTGCAGCTTCTATTTTCTTCACTAAAATATGGTAAAAATTCATCAAATGTGAAGCTGAATGATCACCTAATATCAAAAATAGTTTCAACTCTGAGGATGGTAAAGGATCAAAATAAACCCCAATTGAAATCCTTTGGCACTTGTTGGTAGTATATAAATGTGGAGGCCTTATGCATATCAGCTGATAATTCCCAATACTTTTTCTGTATAAAGTGCATTGGTCGTTGAGTGTTGAATTGATCATTTCTTTGAATGATAAGTTTCAGGACAGTTAGCTTTCTGTATAGTCTTTTAGACACTAAATTCTGCAATGGTGTTGATGAGGATTGGGCTTCTAGTGTGTTTAACTATATCCTTGTTGGCCCTGATGCAGGAAAACAGGTTAAGCGAAGACGCAGGACTGGTCTACCAATATGGTGGCGATGGGGACGAAAGAGGTGGTTGTATCAGATACTGTCCAAGCAGCTGCGAGCAAAATCCTGTTGTAACTATTCTTGTGGATGTTGACTCCCTTTGTAATCTACATACATTAGGTCTTAGACCATGCTGCTGTTTTGTACTTGAGTGAAACTAGCGTCGCCTAATATTCTTTTTTTGGTCATTATGCTTAGACTTCCATCGCCCCCTGGACAGACTTGGAATAGTAGTTTCAATTTGTAGTGGTCTAATTCTAGTACTGCCTAATTTTCTAATTTACCAGCATGTGTATGAACGACTATGGTTTCAAAGAACTTGCAGTAATCAACAAACGAGCTGAAAAATGGTTACTTCCCTTATTTGTTTACTGTGCCCATTCATATAATTGGCAGGTTGTTTCATAATATTTTTAGTGAAATAGCTTGCCGTCAAGAATTACATTGGCATTTGCCCTTTGGGAATTGCTATGCAGAAAAGCAGAAGTCCAATTGTATGATGCATGAGAGCGCTGTTGGTTATAAATATCTAAAGTACGGAGGGAAAGAGGAACTCTCGTAGCCTCGTAGGTTAAACATCGCTGTTCCTCAACGGTTAATAGGTTTAAGTTATAAGGGTTTGCGCATTATTTATGGAACTTCAATTGGGATTAAAATATGTTGCACTTTAATTTTATATTTTAATTTACACTTGATTTTTTTTATAACTGTTGATACTGCCTTTTTTTCTTTTCTTTTTAAAAGTGTTAAGACTGCTTTGTTTGAGCAACACAGTCTTCCCACTTGTGGGATGGGATTATATTGGGTTTTATTTGTTGGAAATTATTTTATAAAAGATGTAGGGAAAGAAAAAAAAAGATTCTAGATTTTCAAGAGAAAGTTCCAAAGTTCCTCTCTTCTTTTTCTCCACATAACCTTCATTTGTTGTTTTCCGCGGACCCCCACCATCCTGTACCACTGAAGCTATTGCTTTTTATTTTTCTTGCGTTCCCTGTTCTTATTGGTGGATTTGGGTACTGTACACTTCCTCTACTTTTGGCTGCCAATGTACTCGAATTGCAAATTAGATGCCAAAAAGAACCCCTTGTACGTTGTGCAAAAGAATTGTTGATTAACCCCTCAAAAACATATAGAAACTAAACTCTAGTATTTACAAATTTCTCAATTGCATAAAAAAGAACAATTGGAACAACTAAAAGATACTTAAAACAAGGCAGGAGCCTTTCAAAAATTCAGTTTCACCAGCAGCTAAAAAAACATTTATGTTATGACTCTATAGTCTATAGAATTAGAAAAAAAAAAATCGAGTAATATGCACAATTTACTGGTGCATAGGTGGCGGGTGCGGCGGCGGTATGGGATATGCAACTGGAAGAACATAAGGAGGATGGTGTCCATGAGGAAGCATAACTGGAGTTCCGACGGCGGACGCCATGTGACTGGGCGGAGCAGCGACGGGATGTCCCATCGGAGCACCGTACATGCTGAAACCATGCATATTGGGCTGGTTTCTATGCTTGATATTGGGCCCAAGTGCAGCTGGATTTGATGGATTTGGATTGGGCTGTTGGCCCGTAATAGGAGCCTGATGAATTGATACATCTCCACCGTTAATACTTGTAATATCATGAATACTTGACCTTCTTCTATCTCTATTCATTGAATTTAAACGAATAAAGTACTTTTGGGCATGACTAGCCACTTGTGTTGGTGTTCTTGATATCACAAAATTCCTTGAGATACTTCTCCAATCTCCTTTCCCAAATTTGTCTAAACCTAGCAAAAATAACCTGTAAACCAAACAAAAGAGATAAAATCAGACATAGCATTACAAATTGTCTGAATTAGTACGTACAACAATAATAATAAATATAACGTCGCCTGAATGAATTATTTCTGACCAAGTTACTCTATTTAAACTATCTCATATCAAATATTATGCACATACAATAATTTTATTAGAAGTTGTATAACTAAAATTTTTCTAAAAGACTAAATTGCTCCAGGATCTTTAGTAAAAATTTCTAAGTTAGTGCAATTGAATTTCCTTTTTACTGCCGTACCTATAGTGAAATTTCCTATATCTAAATTAGTGCAACAATAATAACTAAGTACCAATGCCAAACAAGTTATGACTCTCACCAATTGAACTACAATCTAGGGAAATACGGCATATTTAGCAAAAAAAATGATTCTTTTCCATTTAATCCTCAACTCAAAGTCTAAATTAGTGCAATTGAGAAAAAAAAATTCAGTTCCGTACCTATGTTCTTCTTCAGTCCAAGGAATACCCTTTCGTCTTTCTTGTTCAGCCTTAGAATTTCCTTTACCAGAATGGCCAATCGGGTCATGTGTTGGACCCGAAAATCCATTTACATAACCACAATTGGAGCGTCGGTCCACTGACCCAGAATAACCTAAATTGGTTTCCTTATTTGAAGAGGAAGAAGATTCTTCTCCTATGTAATTGGGAAGTGGAACGTGACCAGCATCAATGGCTGCAACATCATCAACAAGGAGCTGATAATGTCGTTTGATTTCGTCAATGGTTTTTGTGGGGACCACTGCAGCAAATTTCTCCCATTGTTGTTCAGAATCCTCAACCCAGTGCATTGCAATTGCATTTTCAAAAGCTTTTTCTTCTTCTTTGCTCCACACTTCTGAAGGTAAATCTGAAACTGACATATTTCTTTTTTATTTGCTGCGTTTTTATTTTTCAGTTTAATACAACTTTTTTCCAATTAGGGAGAAGGAAAATAGTTGGTGCACAGGAATAGAAAGGTAGTAGAGAGAAAATATGAGAGTGCAGGATAAGAATGGGAGGTATCAATTGTATTAATGGAGAAGGAGGACCACTTGGGAAATTGAAGGGGATGGGCTGATTTGTCACGTTCGTAACTAAGTCATGCAACAAAATTACAAAAAAAGAAATAAAATAATATTCGAGAATAACTTTGGTTGTGTATTTTTATTCCGGTTTGGAGTCAATATATAGGTATAAACTTTAGCTTACAATAAGGAAAATGAAAATTAAGAAGGAAATAAACACGGAATCAATTAAGGATTCTAAGTAATGTAAATATTACTATATGTACAAAAGGGGAAACTAATATAAAGTTGTATATACAAGATCTTATATAAAGGAAAGCAAAATTTGAAGAAGGAAATAAAGAGTAAAAGATGCTATGCAGGAAATCAATTACGGGTACTAATAAGTAAACGAAATATCCTATGTACAAAAAAGGAAAATAGATAAGACAAAATTAATTAAAATTTAGTATACAAAGGAAAATAATTCAAGATCTAATTTTCACATATATATTAAGCTCATGTCGACCAAAAGCAAGAAGAATAATTAAAAGAGAAAGCTATGATTAAGAGGGTGGAATTAAAAGATAGAAACATGCAGTAAAAATTGGCATCCATTTGAAAAGTGGCAACTTACTGCCTCTTCCTTTTTGTGACTTGACTCAATCTGATATAGCTATTTTAACACTTAGCAATGATTGAGAGGGTGAATGGCGTTAAATGCAATGAGAGGCTCCTATAAAAGTCTTGTCTGACACTACCAGTTGACAATCATGTATATATGACTAGTATTTGCGGTAAAATATTTACTTGCAACAATTTTTATATTAAATTTATAAATACATAATAACACATATTTGAACAAAAGCTTTATAATTAAATTATGATTAATTAATTTATATTTTTATATTATTAAATTACTTAATTATGGTTGTTTGATATTTGTTTGGTATAAATATCCGATGCAAGTAAATTTTTACTTATTTCTCCGTAGCTAATTTCTTGAAATATAAGGGTTTTCTTTTTCATGATTTCTTTAGTTAAGACTCTAGCTAATGTACCCTTTTTTTTGGTCCGACATGTTTATTCTTAGCTTTGTAATGGTGGCTAAAAATGGGAAGAAGTGCGATAGGGGTCGCTGGAAGCCTGGAACCAGGGGTGGCAACGGGCGGGTCGAGTAGGTAATGCAAAAACGGATAAGTTATCTGATCCGGCTCATATTTAATATAGATAGAAAATGGGTTAACTGACGGATAATATGAATATCTATATTATTCATGGTTTCTTGAATATAATCATTTTTGGGAGAAGTTCTAGTCTCCCAAATTTGAGAAAACCCAATTTGAGTATTTACAAATGTAAAAGTTAAACCCATTAGTTATTCATTGCTTATCCATTTTCTAAGTGGATAATATGGTTCTTGTACATATTTGATCTATTTTAAAAAAATTATTATTTAATTTATTTTTTACTGGATAATAAAAATATCTCGCATCTATGTAGGGTCGGGGATGGAAGTTATGAAGATCTTCTATATTTTGTACCAAACATGAAGGTCTGATAAAATCATAATCACAACCCAACTGGCTTTTGGTCCAATAGGTTCAATTTTTTCTTTCCCAAATACTTATTGATTACTATTTATAATTATTACTTTGATACTTAAAAACAATTTGATGTAATGCTTTGTTTTTGTCCTAATTGATTCTGTTTCGACGTTAGAAATATATTCATTTTTTTTTTGCAAAAATTAAACATTTTTATCTATAGATCGGCTTGGAGTATCAGAATCCCTTAAGTGGAAAATTCAAATGAATTATGTTAACACAGAATACAGATACACAAACGCAAAAGAAGCAAACTGTATCTCACAGTAAAAAAGGATAAAAAGAGGACAAGGGTAAAAAAGGAGAAGAATGGTTATACGTGGAAATATGGAACTGAAAGACATAAATTGAGGAAGTAGGCGTATATGGAAAGAATTTGAGTAATGATTTTTTTCACAATTTGGCACTTTTGTCTTCAATCATATTATTCATGTACTACGTGGCCTTCTCTCCTTCTCTACTTCATGCCAAAGTATGCCCATCTTGTCAATGAGATGTAACATAAAATAATCAAAAACGTCAAAAGAAAAAAAAAATTAGAAAAAGTTTGAATAAAATATATGACATCGAAAAGTAAGAGAACAGGAGAGGGGGCGAGGAGTTGCGCCAACTAATTTATGTATGAATAGATATTATAAAATAATAATGCAGTTATTCTGTTTCATTTTCGTAGAAGGAAATCAATTATGTGAACGATTGAATACAACTTTTTAGACAACGCTGTCTCAAAAATAGTTGTCAATTTTGCACCCGAGCATCAAACTATGTCTCATTTTGCTAGAATTTCTTTTAAATGCGTTCTTTCATCATTTCCATGTAACTTCTAAATATCTAAAGTTATTTTCAACAAAAAGAAATGGCTGTAAAAGTTGATCTACTGATTCTCAATAATCGCAAAGTAACACAAATTGGGACAAAGAAAGTAGTCGAAGTATGTAACCAAAAAATTCTAAATGTCCCCAAATAAAAATAAAAACTTCAAATTAAGATTATAGGATAAAACATTAAATCAGAAACTAATATGTAGCATGTTATATTTATAGAAAGGAAAAGAAAAGAAAAGAGGGGTCAATTAAGAAGAAAAAGATGTTGTCTATATAAATCCGACGTCAGTCATCGATCATACACATAATAATGATACCTAAGATGACAAAAGTCTATTTTTGCGTCTCTTCAAAATCTATCAAAATCCAGTACTACGTCCAAATCCGAGGCTCGTTGCCTCTATTTCAAATATTTTCAAAGGGCAAAGGCTCATAAATCTTTGTGGCACTAAAAAAACTTAAGTGTTGTTGAAAGAACAAGTCTCTGTCAAACCATAATTTCACTTTCTTTGATAACTAATCTGTCTCCTTGATATTTATGACAAGTCACAAGGACCGCAATACCAGCAGTCTTTTACTTGTAATCACATGACATTTCAAACTTCATACATATCATCCACCAATTATCTTTATAGGATAAGGTTTAAACAAATTTTGGTATTATTTAACCGCCCTAAACCTTGGACTTTTTTAGATCAATAGACCTTCGTGGTCCGGTCCTTCTCCAGACCCCTCGCATAGCAGAAGTTTAGTGCATCGGGCTGTCCTTTTATAAGGTTCACAGCGACAGTGCTTTCATATCTGACATGCCATATTTGTAATCAACAGGATAACTGTGACTGACAATCTCTAACTGAGCACAACCTTAGAGAATTCTTCGTTAATAGATAAATCTGAAACAATAACTCTCAGAAATAGAATACAGTAATTGTAGCAAACTGCAGATTTGAAACTACATGAGGCAAGGATGCTTGAGCTTTTATAGGAGAATCAACTGAGCTGCAATTAAAGATTTAAAGGATACCAAATGACAGAAAAAGCCGAGGGGGAA